GAGGGCGCCCCGGCGCGGCTGCCGCCTCTTTGGGACCTGTGAGCGCAGGGAAGCCGGGGCCTGGACTTCCCGCCCGGGAACTGCCGCGGAAGCTCGACACGTTCGTTTCCCTTAAATTATTTTTATAATGGTAGCTTTTTCTACATCTTACTCCTGTCGATGCAGCTAAGGTACATCTGTCAAAGAAAAAGACTTTTCCCGACCCGCCCTTTGTATTGTAGATAAGAGGAAAGGACTGACCATGCTTTTTTATATCGATTTTTACAGTATTTGTAAGAATAAAGCAGCATTTTAAATCGCGCCGGCTTCTTCTGTTTGCGGTGACTCCCGCACCTGGGGCCCAGGTGCGCTGTCCACGCGGGAGGCCGGGAGCCTGGGGACCGGCGCTTCACCGGCGTGTGTGCTGTGGGGCTTCCCGAGCCCCGGGACGGGCAGGCGCCGGGCGCAGCGGCCGCGCAAGAAAGGTTCCTCCCCGAAGCAGCCGTGGGTGCGAGGCCGGCCGAGGGCAGCCCCAGACTTCCCTAACTTTAGATGGCTGCTTGAGAGGTGGGGGGGGGGTAGGGGGGGGGGGAGGAGGGGAAGGCGGTCACGTGATTCACTGAAGCCTGTGGGATTCACCTTGGGCTGCCTGGGACTTGGCTTTCACCGTCCTTGGTTTTATAGGCAGAGCAGATTTTCAAAGTGCACAGGACAAAATCTACTTAGGAGGAGATGAAAAAGAGTCCCAAAGTGACCTAACTGGCTATTTTGCCAGTAGTTCTACGCCCAAATAAAGATAGCCACCTGCCTTTCCCCTAAGAAGACTGGGTGTTAGGCACCTTTTCTTGGTGTTGGCAGTCAGGTGTACATTATGTAATTAATTATACATGGTTTGTAAGTGCCTTGCTATAAGAAAAAAAACATCTTCAGTGTCCAGGTACAGTCAATTCATGGCTTTACATGTAATTCAATGTTTTGGATATCTGCCAATAGACCTAGCCATTGGAGACCGCTCTAACTATGGGTGATCTTGGTTTGGTGCAGCATGACTGGACAGGCTGGTGACCTGAGTGGTTGTATATTTATAGCACAGCCATCACCACATCGGTTCACTTATGGGTAAGTTATTCACCTCCGACATAGTTCCCCTAGAACATTTCCCAAAAATACTGAACTGCAAAGTGTTTGGTTTGGACACTTATTCTAGCAGAACACTGGTGAAAGAGGAGGTTTAAGCTTTGCAGGGTGTTTTAGAGGATGTTAGAACAAATGCTTCAAGGAAAGGAATGCTGAATCATGGTTAAAAAAAACACAACCGAACAAAATAGTTCTTTCTGATACGGAAACCTTAGGCTTATTTAAGCTTTAGAAATGTGTTTCCAAGGTATTTTTAAAAAAAGGTAAAGGAAGTTTTGACATAGTTTACACAACAATTTCACATAACGTTTTCCAGAAAAATGTTTTATTTTAAGACCATAAAGTATATTCACTCTGTCAATAGTTAACAAATTAACTACCCAAGCCCACCCCACCCCCATCCTGGTGGCAGGGTTTGCTGGGCTCACAGATCCAAAGGTGACCTTCTGTTTGCAGGGGCTCCTGAACCCAGAAGTTCAACTTCCTCCAGTCTGATGCAGTGCGTTGGGTGGGTGGTTACGGACAGCACAAAACAACTTAACAACTCCACCTCCTTCCCAAGGATGTTCTTCACTTCATAACTCTGTGGTGATAGAGGCATGCTGGTTAAAGCAAATAGACGTAGCTAGGATGTTTTGTTCCTAACAACACAGACCACCACAGGCCAAGGCTGGGGAAGGTCTTTGCCACAGACCTAACCTTCCTTCAAATGGTGAAACTTTTTAGGGAGAAACAATAAAAGCCCCTTTTATTATGGCAAACAAGGACAACAATGACCTCCTTTATTCTGGTGGCGGAATCTGTTTTACATAAGGAACATTTAAAATACGGTTTTATGGATGTTTTTAGTAGATGGCAAGATAAGCCAGCCTAGGAAAGGTCTCGGCACAAGACGTGCTGAGGATCTACTCATCCTCCAGCTGGATAGGCCAGGGATGGACAGACAGCACGCCCGCAGCGCTCTCCTACTTCCTTTGGGTATACTTCCCCAATCTAGCAGCATTTCCAGTCAAAGTATTTCTTGGCACTTTGCCTCAAAATAGGATCCCATTTCTACCCAAATTACAATGGGCTAAGCATATCTCTGTTGTAACAAAACTAAGCTTTTTCTTCACCTGGTTAATCTCAGACAAGTTTCATCTTCAGATGAAAACACAGGCACAAGGCGGTGGGTCCCTGCTTGGCATCCACAGAGCTACTGCCTTCCATCATTAGCCTATCATAGCCAAGGCACCTGTGGCTAGAGAGGTCCGAAAAGTTGGGTAATGCAGGAATACTTGCTGCCACTGCTCCACTCTTAGGATGGCTTCAGGGACTAGTTTCTCGTGAGCCAGGTTGCTTCTCAGTAGATAGGCTATGCAGTGACAACCTAAGCTTGGTTAGGAAGACTTCCTAGCTCTCACAACACAGACACATACCATGCATGAGGCAGTCTGGCTATGTGACTCTAGGCCAGTAGAGGAGAGACGAGCCATCCTGATGGATCCAATTCCAAACTACTGGGCTGTGTGCAGTCAATGCTGAAGCCAGTAGACTGTGAGATGGTTTATTCTGTAGTAATATCTGAGATATCAATACCATTCTGATGCCAAGTGGCTGATATATTCAGTTTTCAGCTTAGCTTAATAGGCTTTGTAGAGCTTTGGACTCCTTGGTGAAAGAGTAAAGTCAAGGGAGTTATTTAATGAGTGATGGGGAAGGAACTTGACAATGGAAATGAGAACCTTCCTAACAGGCTCATAAACATTGGCAGCAACTTCATGGCCTACTCATTTGTTCACTTATCTGGGTTTACTATGAGCCTACATGGCCCAGTGGAGAACAAAAAAGAGCCTTAAGGCTGGAGGGCCAGGAGGCCAGGTGGCAGAGGTTGCTATTTGTGCTGGGAAAATGGAAGTTTGGATAGCTGGGTACATTGCTTCCAGAAAATGCTTATCGTGGAAAGCCTTAATTTAATTTTCTGGATTATGGTGAAGTCATTCTTGCCCAGAAAACTGATACAGTCCACTTAGGGCAGCTTTCAACTGTGTCTACCAGATCTTTTGATAGCTATCATCTATCAGGCTTCCTTTAGGTCAGAGGTTAGCCACTGTGAGTAAAAAATGCTGGGGCAAGGTATGGAGCTTGCTAAAACGTGTCTCTACAGATCTGAGAAGTCCCCTCATCCCATGGTGTGGGCTCCAGATCTAGAGCACCCACAAAGGTGATATCTGGGTTTGGGACCTCTCTGTACCCCCCTCACCCAACACAGACATGCATATGCTGGTGCATGTACATGCACACACATACAGCCAACATTGAGGCAGAATGTACACATGCACATCACACACATGAATATACACATGCTTTCTTGAGGTCTTTACAAGTAATTTTACCTGTAGGAACATTCTAGTTAAGAAGTGTGTAAGGAATAAGTTGTTTCAGTCACAGGAAACCAAGGGAAGGAAGGGGGATTTATGACAAAGCCTCTTCATTTCTATATCCCTAAGTGAGATAAGCAGAGGGAATCAAGCATGGACCACCAGGAAACCCAAAGGGTGGCCAGCCTGCAGTGTCCATGAGGTAGGAGGCAGCCACAGGGCTCAGGGTGGTCTATGCAACACACCTATGTAGTATGAGCTTTAGTTTGCTTAGGTAGTGAGTCTGGGTTCATCCTGGAGCTTTGAAGATAGTGGTAGGCTTTATCCCAGGGGCGGGGAATAGAGACCTTTTGGATTCCTACAGGCAGCGGCACTGTGAAAGCAGGGCTGAGAACCATGGCTCCTACCAGTGATCCTCAAAGATTCTCTTCATGGATTTATCCACATTTTAATTTAATCCAAACTTTGGTATCTCTGGTTTAGATGAAAGAGGGTAAAATGCTGTTCTGTGTGAGGCTGTGGCCCTCTTGCATGCAGGGAGGGACAAGGGCTGGCAGGGGTTGGGGGTAGGGGTGGGAGTGTGAGGAGGGAGTAGAGTGATATATCAACTCCTCACACATTCTGGCTGGAACTGGAGCTGGAAGTTAGCCATGGGGACCATTAGAAAAAGTCCCCTGTTTGGTATGCCAAAGTCATTCTAAGACCATCAGTCTCCATAGTCTCCACATCTGGCCAACCTAAGTCAGCTCTGAATTGATCATTACCTGGGAGCTGTGCCATGGTGCCACTCTAGTGGCACTCTTTTCTGAGTTTGGCAATTCCATGAGATACCAGTGGTGCTTTTAATGGCTTTGACAAGGCAAATATTCACTTAGGGTTTTTTTTTGCAGTGGCTGGATTGAACCCAGGGCCTCATACATGTTGGTTAAATGCTCTATCACTGACCTACATCTCCAGCCCCCAAAGATCCCATTTATGAGAACCAAATTTTACAATGCAAGAAACTGTCTTGGGCTATAAATGATCAATTTAATGGTTTTTACTTCCTTGATAGGAGCACTTTGTACCAAGTCCTAGCATAGTAACTCTCGAGGCAGTAACCAGTTCTTAGGAGCGAGGGCAGCATTTTCAGGTATCCACAGTCTGGAACTGCCAGCAACGAGAAACAAGCAATTCTGTTCTGATTGTGAAGCCATGGCATGGAACTTCAGTCTCCATATTTGAAGCGGGAGTGACCTGTTTAATGGTCAATCTGGAAATAATCTCATTTCCAAAGGGGAAAAGATCTTGCCAGCCTATATGGGCATTTTGTTAGCGACTGACAATGGTCAAATGCACCCACGTTTGAATATATAAGCTGACACAGTATTTCAGGGTAGTTTTGTTGGAACTGAGCATGTATGGTTGAGGGGCTGGGCCTCCCTTCACTTACCCCATCCTCGCAGGCGGCAAACCTCAGCAGTGAAGAAATACTGCTCTGCAACAGCTGTAGTAACAGAGAAGCAGGGCCAGGTTACATCCCACTATGTAGCAAGCAAACTCATGCTAAGACAATTCCTGTCCCAGATCAAAGGGCTACACTGAAATGGCATGTCTCTTTTTGAGAACTTCAAGTCTAACATGACTTAGAGGTAGAGAGAGACTTCCTGAAGGGAGAGCCTACGGGAGAAAGCTTGGGGTACAGCTTAGCCTAGCCCAAGTCCCACATACCACCACCACCAGGTGAACCGTGTCCCCAGATCTAGACACACACCTAGTCCACAAGTAGATATGGGAAATGAGCTCATGCTCCAGGAACCAGCTCTTACCTTGACCTTCACACTACACTGGGGTCTTGAAGGGCATTCCAGAAAGACCTGTAGGTGCCTCTTGAGAACAGGGGATGTGACCATCTTCAAACAATCTCCACAGGAAAAGGTACCTCTGTTGTATGGGGACACATGGGGCAAAGTAAGTAACCAGTGAGACCCAGATCAGAAGAGTTTTAGGAGCACACAGATACTTCTCTAAACATAAATGTTTGCCAAGGGAGGGGCTTTGTTGTTAGAATCAATTTCCTGGGATTGGTGAAAAGCAGCTGGGGCCTGGGGCTGTTCCGAGGGTAGCAGGCTGGAGGCTACTGAGAAAACAGGTGGACAGGCAGAGAGGCACTGTTCACACTCAGCAAAGAGTGGCAGGTAATGTCCCACAGGAAGTGAAGGCAGGATTCTCCAGGAGGCCAGGGGACCAGGACTTCAAACCCACCTGGCAGGACCAGTCTGCTTTTAACTACCAGAGAGCCTTTGCTCCCATATAGCTTTCAACCCTCACCCTTGCTCTCTGATACAACCAAACAATGACTTATCTATAAACAGGCCACCAATTCAGGAGATAGCCAGAGGTCATTTGCTCTTTGCTTCCACGTAGTGAACACTTCCCTTTGTCATGTGACAAAGTCTACTTAGGAGGTCAGATAAGTGAGTCCAGAGGGACAAACGTCACCAGCAGCCAGTTCTGACCTTGGCCCATTAGGAAAATGGGCAGGGGAGGGACATGTGCTCAGTTTCCCAGGAGAGTCAATTCCTCTCAAAGGACACACCATGTTGCGATCATGTTATTCTCATTTCTCATTTGTTCACGTTTGTCCTTTTTCCTTTTACTCTTGACTGTTAATAAAGGAGCTGAAGACAAAAGCCAGAATAACTCCCTCTTAGGTAAACCCAGATCAACACAGCCTCTTTCTTGTAGCTCAGCAGAGCAGGTTCCCTTATGGAGCTCTCAGAAAAGCTCTTGCCAGAGGCTGCCAGGTTGTGGGACTGAACTGCTGCTCCCTTTTAGGGCCCAGGGTTTCAGGCTAGCCTTACCCATCTTCTGGCCTCTGTTCCAGCCTCCCATTGCCACACTGGTCACACACTGGCCAGGAGAAAGCAGTGCTCTCATCGATGCCAACCACTGCCCCTAGGGGCAGAGAGAGGAAAACAAGACACTCAGAGGCGGTTTCTGACATGACCACTCAAGATAACCCAAGGAAAAAAAATCTGTTTTTTTTTCTCATAAGTTTACACAAATGATTCTGTGCTCTTTCTAATTTCCATGCATAGTACACAAAATTATGACAAAGAAGAGTATTCAAAGTTGCCTAGAGGCTAGGCATGGTGGCTCACATGTATAATTTCAAGTCAGAGGTCAGAGGATGGGGAAAATAGTGGAAATGGTAGAATCTTTGCCTACAAAGCAAACGGATTTGAGTTCAAGTCCCAGTACCACTAAAAAGTTGTCCACAATATCTAATATCTAATCAAAGATTTTGGTTTTGCTAGAGGTTGCTTTTTGTCTTTCCAGGCCCACATGACTGCTGAGGGCGCTTCCTAGTTCTCCCCAAACATATGTATTTCAATTACTAATCAAAGCCTTCATAAATGTCTACTTTTTTACACTGTTGCACAGTTGCCATACAGACTAGTAACAATGTTAACAACACCCATTTAGGTTATGTGGGTCAGAGGCATTCCCAATAGTTCCCCAAGGTGAACATCAGGTCTCTATTTTAGTGGTGAGGCAGCAGCTATCTTTGTATGCCTTTTCTGTTCTGAGGGCCTCCTGGACTGCACATTCCTGGAAGTAGTATTGCTATATCAAGGAGTATTAATAAAGATGTAGAAAGACCCTTTTAGAATGTGTCCCCCAAAGCCTTCTGCTTTACAGGGTCCTAATTCATAGGCTTGCTTATTACACTACGCTATACTGACCTTGATGTTAATGTCTTTCTAGGTGCTGGCAATCTGGGGCCAGTTAGGTGCTCTATCACTAAGCCACATCCAGCACCTGGAATTGTCCATTGTAGTTCTACTGCTTTCAAGAGAAAATACTTTTGTGTGTGTGTGGGTCCTAGGTGCTGTGTCCATGAGCTTTTTTGCTCAAGGCTAATGCTCTACCACTTGAGCCATACCTCCATTTACCATTTCTTTAGTAGTTAATTGGAGGTAAGAGTCTCATAGACTTTCCTGCCTGGACTAGCTTGATCTTCAGATCTCAGTCTCCTGAAAAGCTAGGATTACAGGCATGAGCCCTGGGTATCTGGTGAGAAAAGATTCTTAGGTGATTTCTGGGGCAATTTTAGTTATGATTAAAAATATATAACTTTCTTGCTGGGCACTGGTGGCTCACGCCTGTAAGCATAGCTACTCAGGAGGCTGAGCTCTAGGATTGTGCTTTAAAGCCAACCTGGGCAGGAAAGTCCATGAGATTCATCTCCAGTTAACCACCAGAAAACTGGAAGTGGCACTGTGGCTCAAGTGGTAGAGCAATTGCCTTGAGCTGAAGAACTGAGAGACAGTGCCCAGGCTGAGTTCAAGCCTCATGACTAACAAAGAAAAAAATAAAAGGAATATAACTTTCTTTTCTTCTAAAACATTTTTTTATTTTATTTTATTTATTTTTGCCAGTCCTGAAGCTTGAACTCAGGGGCTGGATGCTGTCTCTGAGCTTTTATGCTCAAGGCTAGTGTTCTATTACTTCAAGCTATAGCTCCATTTCTGGCTTTTTGTGGTTAATTGGAGAAAGAGTCTCATAGACATTCTTTCTGAGCTGGTTTTGAATCACAATTCCTAGATTTCAGCCTCCTGAGTAACTAGGATTACAAGCACAACTGGAACCCAGCTTCTACTGAAACATTTATAATATACTTATTCTGGTATGGAACACTACAAACCAAGATAAAGTATACAGTCTCTACTTTCATGGAAGAAGAGTTGCTTAGGAAAGCTAATTGACAAAAAATGAGTAAAAATACCATGAAATAAGTATTAAAGTGATAAATGGAAAAGACCCACGAAGAAGGGTAGCTGAGATTTCCCTTGAGGGCCAGGGAAGGCTTCCTAAAGATGGGACTAAAATGGGTCTATAGGCTGACCTGGACGAGGCCAAACCTGTATCTCAGCTGAACCGCACACTGCAGTGTGATGGAGGCCAGACAGGCTATTGCCATGGAGATGGCAGCCTCAGAAGTGATGTTGAATTTTCTTAGAGGTGAAATATGACAGACATCACTGCAGATTCATCTTTGATGAAATGTGGTGAATTAGATGTTTGAAGAAAACAAAAGATGTGATGTAAGTTTCCAGAAAAAAATAGAAATTTCATTCCCCTTTTTTGTGGTTCTGGTAATTGAATCCATTGCCGTGTAAAGGCTAGGCTAGCACTCTACTGCTGAGTTATATCTCCAGTCCTGTTTTCATTCTTGAAGCGAAAAATTTCATTCCTAACTAGAAAAGACATCAAGAGATAATATCTGTAGAGGAAAAAACAGAATTATGACACTAGCAAGCTTAGTCTATTGAAGTGCATTCATGCAATGCAGACTTGAATAACTTCTTAAAAATGAGAATAATAGGTCTTGATTTTAAAAAGGCTGTCTTATTTAAAGATATTGTCTCTACAAATATCAAAGTGGGTCAAAGGGATGAGAAAGAAAGTCAATAAAGTCTTATAATGAAACTGGAAAAGAGTATCAGCTAATTTATAATAGGCAGAATCAGAAGGAGGTCCAAGGGAGAGAAATGAGGCTGTATCCCAAACACTAGAGAAGGGTCTCTACTGTGATTAGCAGTGGCCTGGGTCTGCAGACTGAGCACCAAGCTGCAGCACAGCAGTGCTCTTGATTAGCAACTACTAAAATGAATTAATGAAAAGTAAGCTCTACTAACAAAAGTTCTTTTTACCCTAGGGTATCTGCTAGTGTTAACAGCTCTTACAATTATATGGAATTAAGTAATTTCCTTTGAATTAGACAATAAGGCAAAAGTTGAGGAAATACATTTCATCTGGAGGCTACAAACCACTGGAAACTAGTTTGGATAAACTTAAATGATTTTCAAAGAATGGCTGCGAAATGTAGTGTTGAGAATATCCACATCGGAAAGAAGAGGAGTCAGGCGGGGTTTCACACCCCAGTAGCCTCACATGAGAGGCAAAGGAAGGATGGAAGGTTTGAACCCATCCTAGGCTAACTAATAAGACCATGTCTCAAAAGCAAGCCAAACAAGGAAGGAAAAAAGAAGGAAAGGGAGAAAGGAAGACACAGTGAGGGAAGAAGGAAAAGGGGAAGGAAGGCAAGTCCATTTGCCAGAGGGTTACAGGTGATGCCAACACCTCATGATCTGCACACTCCCTTAAAGGCTTTGCTGTTAATAGTTTTTATGTTTAGTTTTTTTTGAGGAACCTCCAAACTGCCTTATAGAGTGGATGCACTAGTTTTCATACTGACCAACTTTCCCCACATTCCTAATAGCTTTTGTTATTGTTTGTGTTCTTGATGCTGGCCAATCATTATAGTCAATGTACATCATGCACAAATTGAACTACATAACTTGAGGGTAGGGATAAGGGGAAAAATGGGGAAGAACTATGGAAGGGTAACAATGATCAAGATGCCTTATGTAGGGCTGGGAAGGTGGCTCAGTGGTAGAGTGCTTGCCTTGCATGCCTGAGGCCCTGGGTTCGATTCCTCAGCACCACATAAGCAAAAAGAAAAAAGCTG